GAAGAGCGGGAGCACCGCCAGGCCGGGCCAGGAGCGGCGGCGCCTGAGCGCGGGATGCCTGGGGGAACCTCCCCGGCAGCGCCTCCCGGGCTGCGCGCAGGGGCCGCTCCATTCATTCCTTCTGGTTTTTATCGGGAATACGCTTCGCCGTACTTTCCGGAACCTTTGGAGCTGTGTCTCGTCCCCGGGCCCGTGGCTTTACCGGGCCGAGAGCAGCGGGGAAAGCTGGAGACTCCCGTTCCGGGCCCTGCCAGGTGGCCGCGGATCCCGCGCCGTCAGAAACGAGCTCGTTTTCTTTCTTAGGCTTCCTCCAAAACTTTGGTTCCCATCTCATACTGGCTTTCCTCGGGCACTTTTTTTTTTTTCTTTTTTTTCTTTTTTTTTCTTCCCATTAGTTCCGTTGAAGTTAAGGGGTTTTGAGGACTTCTGTGTCTGGAATTGTGTCTGCTCACCTTTCAGCAGTAAGGAATCGGTGCACTGCTGTTCGTACTGGGAGAGATGTTATTAATTTAAGTTTCCCTCACTGCTGTCCAGCTTCTTCCTCACTGTGTTTAAAAACAATGAAACGGTTCTACCAAGCTTCTACGGAAAGTTCAAGACATGCTTCCGTCTTCCTTTAGCCATTATTTGGCCCGCCAAGTTACACATTTCTCCTTTTTAACAGGTTTTTAAGGTGGAGCACGCTTACTCTTGATAGCTCTTTTCTGTGAGAAAGCATGGCTCTGTTAAAGGTGCACGGACCTGTCCGGATGCGCAGCATGCAGACTGGGATTACAAAATGGAAAGAAGGGAGCTTTGAAATTGTGGAGAAGGACAACAAAGTGAATCTAGTAGTTCACTACAATGTTGGAGGAATTCCAACGACATTTCAGGTATGCCAGACGTTAAGGCTTTTGTTTCAACAGTAAGTGGATTGTGCTCTCTTGTGAACAGCTGTCCCCTTCAAGGCTATTAAGTATCCTGCAGACTTCCCTCTGTCACTGTTTCTTGTTCTCCTTTCCTGAACACAAATCCATTTGTATAACTCTCCAGTAAATTATTTACACGTATTGTTAAAGGATCTATCTACCAAGGCTGGCATTGAGATACCACTGAACTGGAAGAACCAAAAAAGCAGAGAAAAGTTATAGAACTATAGAGCATTGTGGCTCCCATTTTAGATTTTTGCAGCCTGTAACCTTTCTGTTACTGGCACGTTTGCATTCTCTAAAGATCTAGAAGATCCTGACCACTTTATACTGGCTGTTTCCCCAGCTGAAGGGTAATGGTGTTAATACACCTGTAGCCTTTTGCAAGACTTTGCTGAACATTAGTTGTTACAGTTTTAGGTTTTAAATGCAGATGCAGATCACTGTTAAAGATTCTCTTGAAATATTCAGCCAAAATTTTTCTCTTTATATAGTTGTTTTCAGATCAGTCTTCCAAGATTTTGTGCAAAATTCCCCAAATCAAAAGCAGAGCGCTTTTTCTGTAAGAAATACATACCTGTTTTAAAAATATGTAAATGACAGAAGATCAATTGGAAGAAAAGAAATTCAGTCTTATTTAGCAATTTTGCAACAGCCTAAACTGATCTATATGTTGGCTTCTTTTTCATGCCACTGTTGTTTTTCATCAGTAATGTTCACCAGTCTGTTCTCTGAGCCATTTATTTCTGTGTGCAGATGCTATGAAAAAAAAAAAAGTTTGTTTATTTTTTAAGTTTGGTTTTTGCTGCCTTAGTGTGCTGAAAAGTCTCAGCAAAGAATCTGGCAGCTAGTGTTGCCTTGAAAACAAGGCTGTGAGGAAATTGTTAGCTGTCGATTGTTCTCACCTGTGTAGCTGTGGACTTGAAAAGAGTCTCTGCCTTCTCATGTGTGCTGCTGTGGCTGCAGGTTTGGTTTAATCCGCTGTTGGACCATGTTGCTCCTGAGGAGAGCAGTCTTGTCTTCCCCTCCCTGGGTGCTTGTTCTCACACACTCCTTTCTGCCTGGATGAGTGATGTGACAGCAACTCCAAGGGAGGTTCCACAGGGAGGATGAGCCTACAAAACAGCTAACCATGGCCTAAAGGGGCAGGTTTTGTTCCCAGCCTCTCATGTCTGCTGTCTGGCACTTGTCAGATCTTTGTGAGCTCAGTGGAGATTTTTCACAGAAATTTGGGGGAAGGACTGAATGCAGGATCTAGTGGAGGGGGTGATAAACCACCATGCAGCTGGGACTTCAGCAAAGGAAGAGGAGGAGGCTTGTGCTGGAGGGTAGTTCATGTGAGACAGCCCCAGGCTGTTGGCATACCACTTCAGGTGTGACAAATTCCCGATGATCTTGCTTTAGAAGTAGCATTCCCAGTTTTTTTTTTTTTTGCAAGCTGCTCTGAGAGGACTGTGGGTGATTTCCCTGCCTGTTTTTACTTTTCTGTAATGGAAGGTTTGGATGGATCCAGTGTTATATTTTTTTTCTACAGTGACTGGTGTGTCATCAAATTTCTTCTATCAGATAATGTTTTAGAAATGTTTCAGAGCTTAAACTAAGTTGTCCCAGATAGTATTAAGAGAAATACTTTGTTTCCCTGCACCTGCCAAAACTTTGTGACACTGACTGGGTCCTAGTAGGTGCATTAAAAGAGTATGGATGTAGTCTTCTGACAGCATTTTGAGTTTAAATGGGTTTTTTTGCACTGAGATAGTGAAGTAATTGTAATCTCTTTGCACTGGGCTCAGTGTTTTAAGAGAGAATGAAAACCTTGGAGCTTATTATTCAATTCTTAGGTCTTTGAAGATATTTTTAGCTTATATTTTTAAAAAATCCCAACAGCTCACCAAAAAACCCTAACCCAAAATACAAGGATTAAGCACAATGTGTTTCAAAAGTGTAATGTTCCCATTAAAACATTAGTTCCTGACTGAGGTGGTTTTCCAGCCCCTCTTACAAGCTGCTGTTGTATCTAGATTGGTTTTCCAAGAAGCTAGAGATTGTAATGGAAAAAAAAGAAATCCCATTGGTGGACATGGAGTGTCTTTTATTATCTCATTTTATTATCTCTTATTATTTTGAGCTACCCTCAATCTGCATGAATAGTAGAAGCTTTACCCAACAGCCAGTTTTTGTAGACGACTTAGCATGAAGTAACGAGGTTATTATAAAGTAACAGGGGCATCATTGGGAGCGTAAACTCTTATTAAAATTACTTTTGTGCTCAACCATAACCCTGGAAGTTCTAATACCACTTAATTGTCATGATGTTGCATACAGACTAAGCATGTTTCTTACTCAGATTGTTTAAGCCATTTCAAATCTCTCTTCTCTGGGAGCAAATTGTGAAGTGAGACGTTTGTGTTTAATACTTGAAATTTTCCCCATCTTAAATTGTATTCCACACTTTATGTGGAAGTTTTCATAAATGTGACTTCGTAAAGTTGTTTTTCCTTTACGTTTACAAGTGTCATACTCAGTAGGAAAGCAAGTTTCAGAAAGCCTATCTGGGACTCTGGACTGTTGAGCAATATTGATACCATCCTTACAGTTCTGTCAGGTGCCAAGGTCACAGATTGTGTTAATTCTGTGAGGTTTAATGTTTCCTTGAAGTGGAGCAAGGAGAAGTATTTTGGTGGGAGTCTCTCTTATCCTGTCTATTTGAAATATTTTGTTTAAATTTGTAAGTATTTTGGCCTTTTAAAGTTGGATTTTTGCTTATAGTCACTTTCTTGTTTTCAGTTAAGCCATAATATTAAAACTGTGACCTTACGACCAAATGGCAGAAAACTGTGCTGTCTGATGCTAACACTAAAGGATACCAGCTTTCTGACAATTGATAAGGTACCATTTAAAGATGCACATGAAATGCGGATGTATTTGGATGCAGTCCATCAAGACAGGGTTCATACTGGTAAGTGCAGTTGTTGTAAATCATGTTCTAATGTTGTGGAGGAATGTTGTGTTTTCTTTTTCCCATCTTATCATGGTTTAACCATATCAAACAACAGCTAAGGCCCAGGCATCTGCTCACTCATTCTTCCCAGTGGGGTTGGGAAGAAAATGAGAAAAGTGAAAATGAGGAAACTTGTGGGTAGAGACAGTTGAGTAAGTAAAGCAAAAGCTGTGCACACAACCAAAGCTAATGAGGAATTCATTCACCACTCCCTGTGGGCAGGCAGGTGTTCAGCCATCTCCAAGAAAGTAGGACTCTACCATGTGTAATGGTGACTGCAGAAGACAAACACCATCACTGTGCCACATGGTGTGGGATATCCCTGTGGTCAGTTGAGGTCAGCTGTCCTGTCTGTGTCCCCTCCTGGCTTTTTGTGCATCCCCTGCTTCCTCAGGGGTGATGTGAGCAGGAGAAAAGGCCTTGACTCTGTTAGCAGAGCTCAGCAGTAACTATTACATCTCTGTTATCAGCACTATTTACAGCACAAATGCAAAACATAGCCCTATCGTCGTTATTGGGAAGAAAATTAACTCTGCTCCAGCCAAAACCAGCACACATCTTCAGCACATTTTGTCCTTCTTGTTCCTGGCTTTCTTTGCATTTCTGTAAATGCTTCTTTCTGGCTTCAAACCCCACTTTTTGTTTTATATCCTTCTCATGCTGAACAATAATCAGAGATTAACATACAGGATTTGTTTACATTGTGTG